TTTTTATTTTCTTAAATGAAGTAAATACAACGCAAATTATGAATATCAAGTATAAAGGTAAAATTAGAAAATGAAACATCACCTTCAAATTTGAAGAGCTTAGAAGACTCAGAGAGATGGCCCATCCATTATTAAGGTGTTGAATTTTTGCTAAGGCTAGAGTCATGAGCGTGAGACAACCGAAATGAAAAACAATAATTTTTCCCTACTATGAAATTTTTCTACTGAAATTGACTTGTTGGCTTGTTTGCAAATCTCACAAATGCATGAACAAAAAGGAAGAAAGTAATTGTAAAACTGGCCTATTCTTATTATTATCTGCACTTCTGACTTGCTAACAGCTTAGTCTTTTCTTTCTAGTGTATGTATAAATTATAGAATCCCATTTAGTATGTTACTTTGCCCTTGAACCTTGAATTCTTTTCTTCAGTGAAAACTCTGACAATATAGCTATGAACCACACAGACACTTGTTCAGTGCTGTGCTGCGCCAGTTTTCAAAAACTCAACAACGGATGGAGCATTTTCTTCTTTTCAGGTATGTAGTCGGATACTCTGTATTCTTCACTACTTGTCTCCTAATCATATCTTTTTACCAAATTTTCTGAAGGGTTGTAGCTTGTGAAGAACATACATTTTTTTTTTTTTTTTGTATTTTCCTTAGTTTAATCCTCGCTTTGTGCTTGTTGATATGGACTTCGTTCTCTGCCTGTTTACTCCTTTCTCTTTATCTTCATTATGCCTTCATTACACTTGATATTAAATCTCTTAATCTTCCTTCTTAAATACTTTAGGTAAACCTTAATCACATTAAAAAATGTTTCCGATTTATCTTGATGCATAATCCTGCCTATTTTCATTGCTTTTTGGAATGGCTTGATCTTATGCAACTATAATCCTCCTCTCCTTTCTCATCAAACTATATATTGAAGCTTGATCTCCTTACTCTCTGAGCCTGACACGCCCACTTCAAACAAAAATTTCTTTAAGCAAATACCCATAAAACTGAAATTGATTTTGTTTAGGGATGTTAACCTCTTTTTTCTTCTTTTTTTGTTTCTCTTTGTTAATTTTTAATGATACAATCTTGTTTAATTTCCTTAGTTTTGCATGTTTAATTAATTATTAATTTTTTACTTTTCTTTTCATTCATGAGAAACAAAGGCGAATGAGTTTATTAAGAGCCATGCATGCTTACTTACAAATTTTCGTTTTCTTCTTTTTTAATTGATTGTGGATGAAGGCAGTTATTTCAAGAGGGATTGGCAAGGGAGTTCATTGCCTCAACAAAATTTGATAGTAATCTCCTTTCTCTATGATGCTCTTTTAGTAATAAAGTCTAAAATGATAAAATCTTTTACTGGCATTTCTAATGGGAAAAGTTCATATTCATAAAATTTGAAGTCTTAACTATTTTATCCAGCTTTTATTTAGCCTATAGGTGATTAGAAAAGAAGATAATAGGATGTAGATGTACTAGATAGACAAATAGTTACAAGCACGTCTCTGAGGCTGATGATAATTATGTTTTATCTGTGTGTGTGGATCAAACATGCTGCAAAATAGCTTCTTTCTGAGATGGCTATTATTGATAAACTTTCACTCTTGCAGGCCAAAATAAAAGATAGGCTTTCACTTCAAGCAGATTCCTTCAGCATGTTAAGATAATTTTGAGATTACGTGATGAAATACTGGGACAAACATTTCTGTGACATATTTTCTTCGCTAAGTTTCAACAATAATTACTATAATACTGACAATTTCCTCTTAATATTTATCTTGGTGCAGAATATCTGAGGAACCTTCTGATGACTTGTGACAATGTAAATGTGAAGAAATCATTAGTTATAGTGTCTGCATGCATACATGGTCAAACCTTATGGTTGATCTCTGCACAAGTAGCATGTGCAAGCGAAATTACAGAAGGAAACATGGTTTATGAGGTTGGAGAATTGTTCGAATTAGGAACCCAGCTGTCTTATCTGCTTTTACCATTGGGTTTGCTTGGGGCTGGAACCTTTTTTGTGATTCGTCAGGTCCTTGTACGCAGAGAACTTGATCTCTCTGCCAAAGAATTGCAAGTAAGCCAATCTTCTGTTACATGCAAAGCTTACATCCTTGTAAAACCTTGACATTTCTGGTCCTTGAAACTGAAATGAAGATAGATTAAGCTTATAATGATGAAGCTTAAAAGGAAAACACCTTTGACTTTTTCATACTTTTTTGCTCTCACAGTAATTGCAATTCATACAGTTGCCCCTTGTCACTTGCATTCTTTTTATTTTATTAATTCAATTCAGGAGCAAGTAAGAAGTGGTGATGCCAGTGCAACTGAGTTGTTTGAACTAGGTGCGGTTATGCTCAGAAGAAAATTTTATCCTGCTGCTACAAAATTCTTGCTTCAGGCAATTGAGAAATGGGATGGAAATGATCAAGATCTTGCCCAGGTTTGATATTGTTTGGGACCTTCCATGTCTTACAAGTTGAAGCAAGTGACTTGCAAAACATACAATGCGTATCCTTCTTTACCAATATTGCTAGCAGTTTCAAAGCTATATATATATATATATATATATATATATATGAGGGTTTTGGCTGATTTGGACCAAGAACTTTTTCATCCATTAACATGGAACGTGTCTGTACCCATGCAGTGTACACTTCATGCATTTGCTATTAGTCATGCATGATATAAGGCTTGATAATATGAACTGCCAATTGATATTCAGGTTTACAATGCCCTTGGTGTCAGCTACACCCTGGATGGAAAACTTGAAAAAGGAATCAGCCAATTTGAGAGTGCTGTGAAGCTTCAGCCAGGCTATGTCACAGTATGGAACGACCTTGGTGATGCATATGAGAAGAAAAAAGAGCATGATTCTGCCCTGAAGGCATTCGAAGAAGTGTTACATTTAGATCCCAACAGTAAGGTTGCACGCCCTAGACGCGATGATTGAAGGACCGCGTACAAATGTACAGAGGAGTTTCCATCAAATCAAAAGATAAATGATCCTCTTTTGCAGGAGAAATTTACGTTTTTCCTCTAGTTTTCCGACGATGACCACAGAAAGAATAATTTATTTTCCCATCTAACCACTTTTTTTCGTTTCACATTCATCTTCTGATTAATTGATTGTAGAAATCCTTTTGACCCAAAAGACTTTCAATTTTGGAAAAATGAGAACAAATGAAATGATTATCAAAGGGTTGCTGCATGCAGAAGGCATCAAATCTGCCATTTATCATTTGGCTGAAAAATAGAGTAATTGCCATAATTTGACGAGTCTATAATGATTTTTTCCTTAATTCAATCATATTGTATCTTGTTTTTTTAGAGATTTTCTTCATTTTTTTTCTACTGTTATAAATTTAAAATAAGATAATTAAATAGATGAATTGTATTCTTTTCTTCATTGAGTTTCTTTTGCAGGCTTTAATTTGTTTTGCCGCAGCAAAGAAAGAGAAAAGAAATGAAGTACAGACCTCAAAGACACATACAGGAGGGAATACGCGCCATGGGACTTCTTTGTCACTACAAAATAATTTTAAGGGTTAAATTGTTAGAATTAACTATCTAGGTACTAAATCAATTTCCACACGATCTTGGGGGACTAGCATATAATTTAACTCTGTAGATATTAAACCCTTGTTAAACCTTTTCTCCTCTCTTTACTCTTTCTCGAGTCTCTGATAATACAATTACACGGCTATGGTACCCACCCCGAGCTGCCGACTCCGCATGACAAAGCTCCTCCCTATCAAATTTCTTATCTTTTCCATATCTAGACCCATTTTCCCATCTTTCGAGTTCCAGTCTTTCCTCAATTCATCGATTGAAGGCGTCAGTTCATCTTTTTAGTAGGGGAGAAGCACTTTGTTTGAGAGGCAGGTAGGAGTGACACACAAGCGAAGACAGAGAGATAGAAGCAGGTAGCTCTTCTGGGTACTCTTCTTTTGGTAGTAATAACTGCAGAAACAAGAAATTTGATGTATATTCTTGTAATTTCCCAGTGAAGCTTTCTTGCAGATTCTGGGTTTCTCTTGTTTCACCTTCATTTCTTGTTATGAGTGTGAAAGATGAAGTCTTGTAGATTATCAACTAAACTATTGAACGTGTGCTTAGCATCACTGTGTAAAGCCCATCAATTGAAGAAAGCTGAATCAGTCCTGGTTGATAGTATAAGACTGGGAGTGCTTCCTGATGTGGTAACTTACAATACACTTGTCAGTGCATACTGTAGATTAGTTGGCATTGATGCTGGTTATTCTGTTCTTTATAGAATGAGAGAAGCTGGGATTAGCCCAGATGTTATTACATACAATTCCTTGATAGCTGGTGCTGCTCGTAGTTGCCAGTTAACCCGTACTCTTGATCTGTTTGAGGAAATGAATCAGATGGGTATACCTCCTGATGTGTGGAGTTATAATACTTTGATGCACGGTTTCTTTGAGTTGAAAAGACCTGATGAGGCCTATAGAGTTTTCCATCATTTACTAGTTGAGGGTTCGACTTGTGCCACAACATGTAACATTATGTTTAATGGACTTTTCAAGAATGGGTACATGTCCAATGCCCTTATGTTGTTTAGGAATTTACAGCGTCGTGGGTTTGTGCCCCAATTAGAGACATACAATATTATTATCAATGGATTATGCAGAGGGGGAAGAGTAGGCCGAGCAATGAGGATGCTTAATGAACTAGGGCAAGCAGGTCATGTTCCAAATGGCATAACTTATACTACTCTACTAAAATTCTGCCTTAAGAAGAGGAAGTTTGAACTAGGGCTCAAGATGTTATCAGAGATGAAACAAAAAGGATATACCTTTGATGGGTTTGCTTACTGTACAGTTATTGGTGCTTCTATTAAGGCTGGGAAGATGGTAAAGGCTACTTGTTTCATTGAGGAGATGATACAGGCTGGCATTATGCATGATATTGTGTCTTATAACACCCTAATTAATTTTTATTGTAAAGAAGGCAAATTGGAAGAGGCCTATAAGTTGCTGGATGAGATGGAGAAAAATGGCTTGGTTTGTGACCAGTACACGCACACAATTATGATTGATGGCTTGTGCAAGGCAGGAAATCTTCAGGCAGCCAAGCGACATTTGAACCATATGATCTCAATGGGTTTTGATTCAAACTTGGTTGCTTTCAACTGTCTGGTTGATGGGTTGGCTAAATCTGGTCAGATTGATGATGCAATGAAATTATATAAATCAATGGACAGAAGGGATTCATTTACCTACTCCTCCTTGGTGTATAATCTTTGCAAGGCTGGAAGGTATCGATCTGCATCCAAGCTCCTACTGGCTTGTTTAAGAAGTGGGTTAGAGATACTGAAGTCTGCCCAACGTGCTGTCCTTGATGGCCTTCGACACTCTGGATTCCCTAGGGAAGCAAAAAAGATTAAATCCAAGATTCTTATGGCTCGGATAATTCGTTACTGATTTGGCTATTATTTTCCAGTTAGGATGCTGGATGTCAGAAATTCTTTTTTATAACCAGATTCAATACTAAAGAACATTTTTTGGAGTGATCAAGATCATGCTACATCCCCTGTTATGTTGATTTAGTTCCAGTGATAAGACTGGTCATGCCAATATACAGGTTAGCAGTTTGAAGCAGACTGCAAGCACATGTCATACACACCCAGGTTGTCAATCATATGATGCAGAAACATGCATGTTTCTTGAAAACTTATGCATCTGCTATGAGGAAAATGTTGGCACTTCTGTAAAGCTTTACTGGATTGATCATCAGTCAATGGTTGCATCTGTTCTTGGGATTTGAAAGACCAATTCACTCCAAGAATTTCCCAACAGAACATGTAAAAGATTCTCCTTAACAGAAAGGTAACTATTTAGTTCATTTTATTTTGATAGTGGAATTTGTCTATTTGGCTTATGTTCATGTGAGTTATATCTGAACCAAAAAAACTAATGGATTTAATTTGAGAATATCTGCATTCTGCACTTACAATGGTTGAACTGTGAGAATAATAGAATATATTAATTGCTTTATTTTTTAATGGATAAAACAATACCCTAAATACAGACCTAAATAATTTTAAGCACACACCCGCATGTGTTGACTTGTGAATTCTTCTTTTTTGCCATTTTCAAATGGATTGTGGATGAAGATGGATATGTCAAAGGCAATTGATAACAGAGTTCATTATATTGACTAGTTTTAATACTACTCCCTTATCTCTAGGCTGGTTTTTTAGTCAGAGAGTCTGAATTCTCTGGTTGCAGTTGATCAGCCTATGAAGAGCTTATGTGTCTCTGCCATTTAAACAGGAACACTCCATATTATGAGAAGTTTGAAGTTTTGATATGTTTTATTGCTTATTAAACATTATTTATGCTATTTTTTATGTCTCACTTCTTTTAGAAAAAATTAATAGCTTATGTGGATGTGTAACATAACTGAAAACCAAAA